GCGGCAACATTTGCGGCACAGAATTGTCTCAATCGGTCGACCGCTAGGTTCGCGGCACTCGATTCGGTCAACTGCTCGGCGATGTTCACAAATGCGTGCATTTTGCCCAACGCATAGGTATTCTGTAATTATAAACAGTTATAATATCTTTATAAGTCAGATAGTTTATTAATCATGCTATACCTGTCCCAAGTTATAACAATGTTCGTGGAAAGTATCCACAAATTGTCGATAGCCAGCAAAGTTATTCAACTCAAGTTTCTCATTGAGTACAACATTGACGTCAACACCGGGTATATCAGCGATACTATTGACGTATTGCACGATCTGTTTGTCCAGCATTTGTCTACCGGCTAACAGAGCATTCAATTCAGCCACATACCTTTAAATGAACAAGATACACATTAATTACAATTTTTATTATACTAAGTCACTTAGTAAAAATGTAAAAATACTTACTTTTGTTTCTCATCAGCGTCATTTGCGGACTCAATTTGGTGTTTCAATATATTGATGGGTACGTCACGTGATGGTGAGAAACCGGTAACTGGTCTCGCCACAGAGTTAGCAAAAACCTTTTTGCCACCTGTTAATTTAATTATAAAATTAATAATTTGTTATCACAACTTTTTTTAAATTATTAATTTATCTTACCCTGGTACTGGCCAATATGATCCTTGTTTGCCAAGGTGAGATCACCGTATTGTTGAGCGTGTTGTGAATAGTTACCGCCGTCCATGGTGAAATTATTATGGATCTTAATATACTCGTACTGTTCCTCCAGGGTCTCTTTATTAGGATCGTTGGTGACGGTGTTGTTTAGCCAATTAACCGCGAACCAACCAGCTAGGTAAGTTTTATACTTTTTGGGCTCGTGATTGCACGCCCACCCGGACTCAACTGTATTGGTGGCGGTGATGGCGAACGCATTGATATCAGCGGGTAATAGTTTCTCAAACATTGTGCCTGGTGAACATAATTTCATAAATTAATTTAATTATAAATTATAATTTTATAAATAGATTTGATAAAATAAGTTTGAGCAAACAACCGAATTTAAGTAATAAAAAAATGTTTTATAGTTTACCCGATTCGCAAGCTGACAAATAAAACACCAAGGTGGAGTAGCGTTTATCTTTGTGCATTTGGATCAACTCCTTATTCAAATCAGTAGCGTGTAAAACTGAGTGCGGGAATGATACATAACCTAGATAAAAAAAATAATAATACAATTAGTTTAAGTATTTTACATAATTGTTTAATCTCATTACCGGGTGCACCATGGTCAGCGAAAAAGGCAAATATACGATCATTTGGTCCACTATTGACCACACGTTTGCCCGCTTTAGCCAATGTCTCGTCACCACGAAGTACGGCCAAAAAGTTCTATCAAGGTCAATATTATTATTTTATTTTAACAATATTAATTTTTATAAATATTTTATTAAACAGAAATCAAAAACTTCATCTAAATATGTCATATGTTTGCATACCTCTGGTGTAACCTCTTTGCCAACAAAGTCCTTGGGTACACCATGATAGACATCATCACCACCCTCCTCATAGATGACGGTGCCTTTAACAGGGTTATTTACGCTGTTAGCCATGTCATCGTAGTGCAAGACAATGACATTTTCGGCGGGGATTCCGTGATTGATCACAACTTGGTAAGCGTGGTATACATCAGCCTATTATATAAATAATATAATATATAAATATTTTATGATTGTTTGTAGATTTAATTACAGAATTATTCTATATATTAATTATAAGTTTTTCATCTCATTCTAATTCATTTGTTAAAAAGAAATAAAGTTTAATTTAGCACGGTGTTTATTTTATTTTTTAAAATTTATTATATTTTTGATAAATTGATTAATAAATAAAATTCTTATTTAGTTTAATAGATAATGGATTTTCAAGGGTTAGAGAGAGAGAGAGAGAGAGAGAGAGAGAGACCGAGAGAGAGAGAGAGAGAGAGAGAGACCGAGAGAGAGAGAGAGAGAGAGAGCTGATAATAAGTATAACATAACTAAACAAATAAACAATATGATCACATACTTGATGTCTGTAATTATACCACCCATTTGATCCAGCTACCAACACCACCCATGTTTTGCCCTCGGTGGGTTCACTTAATTTCTGTAAAAAGGGTACGGCATGGGCAGCCGCCACAAACAGCAAGCAGAAAATCACAGATACTTTCATTGTCAAACAATTAGTTATTCTAAAACCTTGTAATTGAATCTAGCACTATTTATACTATTTTAAAAATTGATAAAATAGTTGTATAGAATGCACTCTTGAAACATTTGGTGATTGAACTAAACCACTTAATATTATCAAGGCATTATAATATAATATTATCAATTTATTCATAACATACTCTAACCATTTAGCTCAGGGTAGGTCTTGTGATATAACTTGAAATTTTAAAAGTGCCAGATAATATAATAACATGTGATTTATTTCATCCACATGAAGTTCGTAGAAATACTATTTATACGTAATCTAATAATAGTGCCTTATTAAATAACTGATTAAATATGAACTTTTTATATTTTGTAATTATATGTTTTCAAAATTATTTGTTATTTAAATGTACTAATAAATATTATATAAAAAACATATATAAGTATAATTATAGCGTTAGAAATAAAAATATCTTAAACTTTGTTATATTTTTATTAATATGTTAATAAAACAATAAATGAAAATAGATTTAATCTTTATAAACTTATCTAATATTAATTTTAGGGACACATGTTACCTAATAATTTATTTCACCCTAATTATGAAAACAAAGAATTAAATAATTTTTAATTTATCAGATATTGGTACAAAGTAATAAAGAGCTAATGTGCCTACCTTATGTTTATATAAAAGAACATTGCTGATATGTGGTGTAATGTCGCATATTGTTTTATAATGTAACAAACAATATTTTATATTAATAAAATATTCTGAAGTTGTGTGAATAATATTTAATATTATATCATAATAGTTTAAACTGAAAATTTTTTACAATAAATAAATAAATACTTTTATAAATAATTTAACATCACCACATAAAATAAATAATTAAAATCATTACTCTTATTATATTAAAATCAAATTTTAAATTAAAAACTTTAAAAACAATTTATTAAGTTTAGGTTATCTGATTAATAGTTTATTTAACTACGGCGGTATGGGAACAAAAATTTAGCAAGCACAGGTGGTGAAGGGGGTGTGGGTGGTGATACTGACCTCGTATTGGATGACCTTGAGTACTATACAATATAATCAACCATAAATATTATTAGATAACATACTAATACTGTATATTGAACATTGTACTATAAACTGACCATGCTTGAGTCTACATCCCTAGCGGTCATTTGGAGTGCATTTTCCAACTATTTTTGAAGGTTTTGGATCTCATTATTAGCTCTAGTGTTGAGTTCCAGCAAACACTCGACACAATCGTGATTAGGCTTTAGGTCACAAAAACATTGCCACATATTTTGAAACTGCACTTGCAACTTAATAAGTGTTGTGATAATCTCTCCAGGGCAACTACCTCTGTACAGCCATTGTCATTATACTCACAGCATATTTGTAGCTTACCAAGCATGTTTTCCAATAACCTTTATATATAATATTAAAAATTAAATAATTATCATTTTTATATACTGTATTTGTGCTTAAAATTATATTAACAAGTAAGATTTATTTAAAACATTTATTTATTCTTTAAAATAGGCTTTCCTTTAGAAAATTAATAAACAAGTTATAAAACAATAAAATATTTAAAATAAAAATTACAGTCCACTAAAGTGTTATTAAAAATTTATAAAATCTATTACATACCTGGGTGGGTTTTGTAGTTGATGAAAAGTCAGTGATTTCCTATCAAAAGGGCAGATATTATTGTTTTTAAGTCAATCGACTATACATTGCGTGCGGAATGTCTGTCGACAGCATTGAGTGACCACTGGTTCGCGGAATATATTGAGACAAATACCGCACGAGAGCTCCACTCTGTCCGACGCACTCAACCCCACAAACCGGTCGCAGTCATAGCCCGACATTATTGGCTGTAATATATTTATATTTTTTAAATAATTAAAAATAATTATTTAATTTAGTATTGTTTCGACGATTTTTTTATGTTAAATGAAACAATGAGTGTTTTTGAATAAAGATAATTGCTATGCTTATGTTGCTAATTGGTATAGTTTGCATTTGTGCCGAAATTTATTTATTGTAAATAAATCATCACAATTAGTTGTAATTTTTGTCTGTTTATTTTAATTATCTATAATTTTACTTATTAATTAATAAAAAAAAATTAAAAATATTTTTTACAAGTTTCTATTAAACCATTAATCATTCTAAGCATATTCATTAAATAATAATTTATAATTATAATTATAATTAGTGTAATAGGTATATGATAATAATTAAATTACAAACATGTCATACACAAGAAATTCATTGTATTTATTTAAAGAAAAGTAAATAGATTATATTATGTTAAATAAGAATGCGGTATCATAACAAAGTTATCAGGAACAAATCAACGATTAATTCTGATATAGTTTCAATTATTCAGCGAGTTTCATGAAACTTGTATCATTTTTAATTTATTTATTATAAGTTTTATAATCATATTTTTACAATTTCTTTATTATAAAAATCACACTAAAATATTATTGAAAGCTTTAACCTCAGGGTTAAGTATTGATATTAATTACAAAATTTTCAAAGTTTTATTATTGTGATCCATTTATTAAATTGTAGGTCATATATAATTCTAAATGTATTTATNAATTACAAAATTTTCAAAGTTTTATTATTGTGATCCATTTATTAAATTGTAGGTCATATATAATTCTAAATGTATTTATTCATTTTAAAATTTTATACACATTGTTTAAAATTAGTTGGCTCGGTTAGAGGCTTTCTATCTTTACATTTGAAATTAAACCTTGTTAAGAAATTATATTTCTTAAGCCAAAATGACCTACAGTCTTGACAATCGAAATTATTGTTATCATCTTGATCAATATTATTTTGAGCATTTGCTTCGAAAAATGGTCGAAATACGGTTTCATCAAAATATTGAAAATCCGATTGATTACGTTGGCCCCATATCATTAGTCTGACTGGACGATTTATAGACAACAAAGATCCTGGTGCAAAGCTATTGGAATGTAGCGAGTTTCCATATAAATTAATAATCAACTTAATTGGGCTAGGTGTTTCGATGGCGAACGCGTTTATTGGAATGTAATCTAGATTATTATTAGCCAATTCCAAATATGTAAGGCCAGATAAATGTGTAAATACGTTGCTACCTAGGATACTAATATCTGAATAATTTATTTCTAACTCGTCAATCATAGTTTGTTTTTCCGAAAAAGCACCCTGTGGAATAGCGTGTAGTTTTTCAGTTTTAATATAGAAATGATTAGCATTGGTGAACCTTTTCATTACATCGAACAAATGGTCTGGTTCAAAATTATGATTTCTAACAAAAGAGAAGAGCTTTGTGATAGCATATGTAGATCCAAAAGCATCTGGGTGTATATGTTGAAGGTTAGTCTCTCCAATTATTATTTCATCAAAAAGTATATCAAGAAATGTGTTTGCTTTGATCTCGGTAATATTGTTATTATACAGGTAAAACGTTTTGAAGTGTTTTAGTTTGGGGTCCAATGTTGTACTTAATAAATAGAACATATGCTGCAAATCAATGTCCATGTTCCCGACACAGTTTATGTAGTTATCCTGACAACCAGTACATGGCAGTATAATACTTGGGTCAGGGCATTGTCCAAATATGAGCCCGATACTACATAAAAGCATGCATGTTGCTACATACATTCAATCGCAAGACAATAAGTTATAAATTAATAAGATTGTTAATAAGATTTTTAAGATTATATTAATTTTATTTCACAACTTATAACTTACATAAAAATATGAACATGTTTTAAGTATGCTGAATTATTGTAAATTACGATAGACAACTATTTGAATAGAACTTGAAATATAATTGTCAACTTAGTTTATATAATAAACTCATAAAATAAAAATAAATGTCAAATTCTATAAGCGTAAAGGTTAAGTACTAAGTAAATGTAAGAAATATTTCAAGTCCATCCTTATCAAATGATAATGAACTAGCGCACAAATTAGTGCAAGGAATTTTTCCTGTTTCCCCACACTCTGCAGAAACCAACCCATGTTAGGCCTCTCGCATGTATCTATTCTAATTTATACAAAACTGAAATGCAATATAATATTCAAAAGTGATCATTTTCATTAAAAATAGCTAAATTATGAATTAAATTAGCATAATAGTTAACTAAATTAAATTAATTATTCACAAAATTAAATAAATTTGAGAAAAGAAAGCAAATTTTGTTTATAATTTAGTTAATTTCATACATCATTAAATTAAATTAATTTAATTCAAATTTAGTTAATTTAACGCACAATTAACTTAATTTAGTTAAATCAAAATAATTAATGTACCTAATAATTCATAATTAATTAAACTAAATTAAAACACTTAATTTTTAAATAAATTTAGTTAACTATTATGCTAATTTAATTCATAATTTAGCTATTTTTAATGAAAAATGATCACTTTTGAATATTGTATTGCATTTCAGTTTTGTATAAATTAGAATAGATACATGCGAGAGGCCTAACATGGGTTGGTTTCTGCAGAGTGTGGGGAAACTGGAAAAATTTCTTGCACTAATTTGTGCGCTAGATAATGAATATAACAAAATATTTATAATAATAAAGACACTTAAACTAAAATAATGAAATATTATATTTTTAAATAGCGTTGTCAGACGTCCTCCTATTTGGAGAACAGTCCTTCAATCGACCCCCAGTGGCACCGTTAGCCAGAGGGGTTGTGAAGGACAATGCAATGTCCTCCACGAGAATTTGTTCAAATAAACAATTGTTTTGTCAATCTTTGACATAATCTTTATAAATTATTATAAATACATGTATTATCAAAATTTTAATTCATAAGTTATGAATAACTTCATTTCATTATTACTCTGACTTCCAATCACATAAAACGTACTGGCAACGCTATTTGTATTGATACATTGTATTTAACATTGATTTATTATTTCCACGAAAATTTATCTATTGACGCAAGTCGTAACCTTTGATTGTATAATGTCATATCAGTTATATTTATTATACTTAAGAAATGTCAAGGG